GGCAGCTCTCCTCTCTGCTCTGTAGTCAACATGTGGTCCAGAACTGTAGCAGTGATCCAGCAGAAGACTGGGATTCCACACATGATGTGGAGGCTCCTGGAGGTCTTGATGTGGGAGATGATTCTGCTGGACAGCTCTTCATCACTGAACCTCCTCCTGAAGTACTCCTCCTTCTGGGCGTCCGTGAAGCCTCGTACTTCTGTAAGCCTGTCCACACATGAAGGAGGGATCTGATTGGCTGCTGCAGGTCTGGAAGTGATCCAGACCAGAGCCGAGGGCAGCAGGTTCCCCTTGATGAGGTTTGTCAGCAGCACATTGAGCGAGGACTTCTGTGTGACGTCAGAAAGCAGCTGATTGTTGGTGAAATCCAGGTGGAGTCTGCTTTCATCCAGGCCGTCAAAGATGAAGAGAAGTTTCCAGACAGCCAGCTTCTCTGCTGGGAGCTTCTGTAATGTTGGATGGAAAATGTGGAGCAGCGTGAGAAGACTGTACTGCTCATCTCTGATCAAGTTCAGCTCCCTGAACGAAAGCACAACCACCACGCTCACATCTTGGTTCTCCAAGCCCTCGGCCCAGTCCAGAGTGAACTTCAGCACCGAGAAGGTTTTTCCAACGCCAGCGACGCCGTTGGTCAGAACCACTCTGATGGATCCATGTTGCTCAGGTAAGGCTTTAAAGATGTCCTGGCACCTGATTGGAGTCTCCTGGAGGCTCTTGGTCCTGGAAGCTGTCTCCAGCCGCCTCACCTCATGTTGGGTATTCACCTCTTCACTCTGTCCCTCTGTGATGTAGAGCTCAGTGTAGATCCTGTTGAGGAGGGTTCTACTTCCTGTTTCATCACTTCCTTCAGTCACACGTTCACATCTCCTCCTCAGACTGATCTGATGTTCCTCTAAGACCTCCTGCAGACCAACATCTGATAAAAAATGTGACACAGAGCAGATGTGAATGCTGCAGCAGAAACTCCAACGTTCTGATTGATGCTTCAATCTGAAGGATCTTTCTAATCATCTTAGATCTTCATTCTGTCCCACACAACAATGTGCCTGTATGAAGACAAAAGGGTGGACACAAATGTCTTACCTTGGACACAGCTGCTCGGACTGGCTGTCTGCAGTCCACTTCTGGGTCTTTGTCCACACTGAGGACAGGAGGAGGGTCCAGATGATGTAGACTGGTCCCAGTATGAGGTGATGCAGCGTCTGCAGAACCAGTGTCCACAGCTGGTAGAGACTGGATCCTTCAGGACGTCCTGACACAAAGAACAGCAGGACAGCTGCTCCTCCTCACAAACACCACTCCTCTTCCTCCCTCTGTGAAGACATTTACTGATGAAGAAGTGGAACAACAGGAAGTGTTGATCAGATCAGTTGTAACATCTCTGGCTGCTGACTCCAGGATGAGGAGAAAACTGTTGTTCAGATCCATCCACTAGAACTTCCTGAACCATCAGAGTCAGGAACCAGAACCTCACTGACTCAGGCTGTGCTCTGAATTATTGCT